ATTGCTTCTTCTTGAGTCCGCCGGCAGTGGATTACATGGAACTGTTCGCTCGCATTGAATGCCTTCAAACAGCTAAACAGCATTGCAATGACTTTTTGAATCTGAATCTGAATGACTACCGAAATGGTTGTCTCATAATGGAAAGGGATAGCGTTATGAGACAAATACGAGCCCTTAATATACAAATTGATATCACTATTAGATTCAATCAGAAAAGAATTAAAGGCTTTTTGCCAAACGATGTCATTTCTGATACCGCAAAAGCACACAACACTCCGCCCACTATTCTCGACCACAATAAGGCGCGCGTCACTGAGTTAACCGCTTTGACTATCATATCCTACGGCTCACAAATTGCCGAAGGATTCAGTATTTCTCAAATGATGATTAAGGTATGGAATGTTTGGTTACAATATTATCGTTTAAAACAAATGACTTGTTTTATAGGATCACAACTTAGATGCGGCACAAGTGTATCGACTCGCGGGCCGATCTCTGGCCCGATTGCCGGGAATCAATGTATTGGAATCGGTGTCTCAGCTAATTGAATGCATTCGGGTCTCCAAAACGGGCGACACCACTGTATGCGATGATGTGATCGGCGCCTGTGTTCGCAACTCTTATGATTCCTTATTAATGGATAATTTGATAAAAATGCTGTCGAATGACGTCAATAAGATTGACGCCTATATTAGAAACGATAAACTAAAGTCAGCCTATTTGTTGGCCTCGAAGGAGAATCGGGTCACTGATGTGCTCCGCGTTCTCGAAGCGGCCAAACGCTTGAATAACAAGCAAATGACCAAAATATGTGAACTATGGCTGAAAAAGAAGAAACAATTGCCGACTGATAATTGAAATGATAATCGAAATGATAATTGAAATGCTGTTTTGTTTTTACATTAAATATTTTAAAGAATTTTATTTTTCTGAATATTACAAATAATTTATATTTTATACAACAATTGATGAATATATAAGTGTTGAATCACTGAAGAGACTCTGCATTCTCTGAAACAGCTCTTTTGAACAGAGTTTTCATATTATTCTTTATATATTCTATGGATTTTTAAACGAATAATAAAATAAAATTATGTGTTATTTGGTTTGTAATTATAATTTAAAATTTACTGAAATCAAAGTCCTGTCTAATGAAGAAGCGATCATTGAATTGTTGCACTCCTAATGAATACCACAATAAA